CTACTAATTACCTATGAAACTAGTACCCGGGGCCACAAGGGATTATTCCTGCCTATGTGAGCACATGGAGGTATCGAGGTTTGAAGGCGACAAACTCTTCAGAGTGAATTGGCTATGGATTTAGGAGTGTATTTCCTGGCTCACACTGTGTGGGTGTTTTGTACTCATTTATAATTGTATACATTAATAATAAATAGAATCAAGAAAAATAATTCTATTTTGGTGTGGTTTTCCACATTAAAAAAAAGCTTTAGAAGTATTATACTTAGACTCTCTAGATTCTTAAAATGAACCTACACTGCTGCCTTTTAGGTGGGTTGTGGAATGCCCAGAGGAGACCATTTTCTTACTGCAGTATTTGAGTAAGCCATTGATTTCATTAGCCAAACACGCCCTAATCTTGTGGGAAACAAGACAGTCCTGGGGAAAAAGCAGGTGCTCTTTTGTCCCCGGGACACTCTCAGGAGGGACAAGAGGTCTAAAAACTCTTCTTCCCTCTCACAGTCTTATTTTATTCTGTGCTTTCCTCAATCTGAAAGAAGAATGTGTCCCAGTCTCATAGAAGGAGATATTTGCAAACACAGAGTTCACTAAGTCCTGTTCTTGAACACTACCACCCCATCCTCAGTACCAGAGAGAAGGCAGAGTGTGTTCTTTGTCCCTGAAAAAACAAACAAACAAGCAAAGCTTAGTCTATGGATTTTCAGAGACAAAGAAAGTTCATTCTCTCACATTTAATTCTGTGACTGATTTGATAGTCTCTTACCTGGGTGGTGAGATTCAAACTGTTCTAAAAACTAAAATAAAAACAATCAGAAATGCATTTCCTTGCACAGACCTATTGATATTTAGTTTAACATACATTTGAGGGTTCTGTAATCCTTAGAGTCTGTAAATAAAAGATCAAATGTCAAAGATGGCACCTCTGTGCTGACTACTATCTGCATGACTTAAGTGAATTTGCATGAATCTTCTGCATCTTCTTCTACAGGGATCACACAAACTAACCAATAAGAACAGCTTTTTGTAAGTAAGCCAGTACCACAGCTTTTCTTATGAGTGTGACAAAAGTAGGTTTGTATTGTTGTTTTGAAATTAACTATCCAAAAAGGATAGTTATAGAATAAACCACTCTTTTACTTTAGTCCTGAAATAATTCTTAGAATAGGAAGTATCTCTGGAATTTTTCTCTGAAAATGAGGTATGTAGACATTTTAAAAATAGATTTACACATACAGATTTTAACAATCCTTTGTTCATTTGCTGTTACCACTAATTGTGTGTCAGATTTTCCAATTTTTTGTAAACCTAAAACTAGAATATTACTTTTTATCTAACTAACTCAACTGAATAAACAGATTGTGTCCTTACAAAGCTTTCCATGTTAATACTCTATGATGACTCATCCAACGTTCACCCTAAACCTCTATTTTGTTTCTGAGTCAACCACATAGTTAGCTACATAGCTTTTAAAATGTTCGCTGACTTAATCAACCAGATATTATTCATATAATTGGTTCTCCAGTCAATGGGAGTGCCTCAGTGTATGCATTGCAGCAATGCCTTTTCTGTGAAATTTATGGTACACCTCATGATCAGTTAATAAATAAATATACAAGGAATTTGTCCACTAAATTAAAAATATAGTTTATGACATATAGTAATTGTACATATTTATGGGGTTCAGTATGACATTTCAATACCTGGAATCAGGACAACTGATTTATCGATGACCTCAAACACTCACCATTCATTGTGCTAGGAGCACCCCATCCTCTCTACCATTTTGAAGATTGTTATCAATTATAGTCACCCTGCTGTGCTATACGACAATGGAAAGTAGTTCTATTCAATGGTAGTATATCTTGGTCTTACCCCAGCCTGTGTCATTCAGGTGTTGAGAATCTACAAACCTCCCTGTGCTTACTTTTGGTAACACAGAAATTGCAATGGTTTATCTATGTTTCTGTTTTGGTACCACTACCATTCTATTTTGGTACTATAGCTCTGTTGTCTAATTTGAAAGCATGTATTGTATGGTTCCTAGCATCTCTTTGTTTCCTCGGAATTGGGTTGGTTGTTTTCATTTTTTTCTTCTTTTATTCTCCTGGGATTTTTAGGCATGCACCATTATTCCTAAGTTGGTTTTTTTTTTTAATGTAGACACTCATAGCTATAAACTTCCTTCTTGTGTCACAGATTTTGATATACTGTGTATCCATTTCCATCTGATTCTAGAATTTATTTTTCAATACTTACCAACTTCCTCAGTTATCTACCAATAATTCAAAAAAGTATATTTTAGCTGGTACTGTCATTTACACCTGTGATCTTAGCTATTCAGGAAGTTGAGATCTGAGGATCATGATTCACAATCAACAGAAAAATCCCTGAGAATCTTATCTCTAACCACCAAAAATCCAGAAGTGGAGCTGTGGCTCAAGTGATAGAGTGCTGCCTTGAGCAAAAAATCTAAGAGGTAGCATCTAGACACTGAGCTGACACCCCAGCACTAGTGCACGCACACACATACACACGTGTATTATTCAATCTGTTTTTTGGGTATAATTTCTGCAGTTTCCTTTGTTATTTATATCTAGTTACATTCCGTTCTGATCTGATAAAATACAATAAAAGTTTTCCACTTCTTGTAATAGTCAAAAACTTGCTTTATGACCTAAAATAATGATCTTTTTGAAGAAAATTTTATTCAGAAAACGATATTTATTTATTCTGAAGTTGTTGGATGGCAAATTCTGTAGATGTTTGTTAAGTTTGTTTGAGCTATAGTATAGTTTACTTCTGAAGTTTCTTTGCTTATGTTTGTGTTCATGATTTATCTATGGTTACAAATGGAGTGCTGAAGTCACCCTTAATTATATAAGGGATTATTTGTCCTTTATACCAATAAAGATTTCATTATGAAACTAGTTGAGCCATAGTTCAGCTCATCTATATTTAAAATAGTTTTATCATCTTGAAATATTATCATCTATCCAATATGTACTGAGCTTCTTTGTCTATCCTAATTTTGGCCTTAAGTTTGTTTTACTAGATAGTTTGTTTTGCTTGTCTCTAAATTCTATTTGCATGGATTATCATTTTTCCTTTCTTCCTTTTAATGTTTTCTGGTGTTATTTCACTTAGATTTTTGTATATTTTTAGTATACCTCTGCGTCATCTTCTACACTCAAACACACATGCACATTCACACATACACACACACACACACACACATACACACACACTGCAATTTATGTCTTTTAATAGTGTTTCAGAAGTCCTGCATATTCTGATTATAATTTCTTATTTTTTTCATATTACTGGGTGACTGATCTAATCATTAGTTTTGTCTTTGAGCTATAAAACGTTCTCTTATGCTTGTTCTATCTGTTCAGTAGGCTTTCCACAGAATTTTTTATTTGCCCAATTGAGCTTTTCATCACCCAGATTTGTTTGTTTTTCCCAAAATATATGCCTCTTTTGTGAACTTCTAACTAAATATTCTCGATTGTTTTCCCTAATTCATTCCATTGTTGTTCTGCTTTATTTTCTTGAAGTTAGTTGCTCATTTTAGCTATCAGTTATTTGAAATGCTTACTCACAAGTTTCTCCACTTCATTGACTGGAGAATTATAAAATTTTGGAAGATTGTGAAATATTGCTTTCTGGTGTTTATTGTATTATGCTTTCAGATTTATGCATCTTGTTCCCACAAATGTGAATGGAAGTGAAATGTAGGTACATACATATGTACAAACATACATAAATACAAACCTTCATACAAAATAAGGATTACTATAAGTCATTTTTATTATCATCTTCATGGTGACAATAAGAACAGATTCAGTACATTGTACTATAGCTATAAAGAATATCCATTATATTATGTAGCTCAAGGCTTAGCATTGACTTCATTCGATCATGAAATTATACTCTCATTAACTGGAGAAACTTTTTCTGGTAACTTTGATCTTTGAGTGACTGAACTATCCTGCTTTGATCTTAATTAAGGTAAGCTCCAAAACAAAGTTCCGTTGAAGAAATCCCTTTCCATGGAAGTCAATGATTCATTTATATGTGTACACATTTTCTCTGACTTGCTTGTAGTGAATCAAATCAAACAAATCAGGGGGAACTTATTGTTATTTAACCCAGGAAACAATATGGCAATCTTAAATATGTTTATCCTTCACATGACATGAACTTAAAATGATTCACTTGGGTGTATGGTTGTCATTTGATCAGTGAATCTGGTACCTTAATTTTTGTACAGTGCTCAATAAATGTGTAGTCAAAGAATAATTTAGGGAAAAGCTGAGATCACTTACATAAAATACAAAATTAGAATGGTGAATGTTAATCTTGTTACTCCAAATAAGACACAGCAAGATATTTTTTTAAACAGGAATCCCTTCAAGTCAGGAATGAATTCCACAAATAACAGAAAAACTTATGTGTGGGGAATTTGCTATATCTATGCACAAATAATCTGTTTCATTGTTTGAAATATGATCATGGATAGTGTTTTCTCACCAGGACTTAGTTTCTAACTCCTTTGAGAATTGATGGGAAATAATTTAAGAGTAAAATGAAATAACCCATGCTACATTCTTTGACAATGTACATAGTGAGCATTTATACATTTTGACTATGGTTATTGTTACAATTATTTAATCACACTCAACATATGGCTCAAAGTTGAGCACATATTAAATGCTCAGAAAATACTACTGTTTCATCCTTTTGTAATTCCATTTTGACTGAGTCGATCTGTTAAACAGTATTTGGGACATTAAATGGGCTGAGGTTACTGTTTTTCTAATTGTGTATAAATTTTATACAATTTCCTTTCCCTTCCTTCCTGTTTGCTTCCTTTCCTTCCTTTCTACCTTCCTTCCTTCTTTCTTTCCTTCCTCCCTCCCTTCCTCTTTACCTTGTCTTTCCTTTTTCTTTTCTCACACTTCTTTTTCTCTCCATCTTTTTTTTTCCCCAAGCAGATATTATTTTAAATTTCCGAACAACCTATGTCAGCAAGTCTGGCCAAGTTATCTTTGAAGCAAGGTCAATTTGCATCCATTATGTCACAACTTGGTTCATCATTGATTTAATCGCTGCCCTGCCATTTGATCTCCTGTATGCCTTCAATGTCACAGTGGTAAGTAGACAGCTTCCTTCCACGTGGCTGAGAAGCTTAATTTTTACTCCTGCATTGGATTTTGACATGCTCCCCATATTTCTGGTAATTTGTGCTTGCTGCGTTTTGTGCCTTCCTTAATAAGGATGTTTGGGTGCCCAATTATATTCAGGACAAATTCCTCAATTGAGGAAGTTACTTCCTTTCAAAGGCTTATTTAAATACCAGGAGGCCCATATTTGTCACAAATACTGAATCACCAAATGCTTTGGTGAGGAAAATACCTGTAATGATGTAGATATATTAGAAATAGTTTATATTGCCATACAGAGAGTCGCTTCTGTAATTTAATGAAGTGTTTGAAGTCTTTTCTCCTTTTATGACTTTTACCTCCCTACATCTGCATTATTTCACTGTTCACTGGCAGAAGCAAGAATGATTGGGAAAAAAGAAGAATGCTGGAATAAAGTAAGGAATTCAAGTACTTCTTAGAATTTCTCATGAAAGTCTTGGATGGAGTAGAAGCCTAAATGATAAAATAGCCAACATTAAAGTGGAGCTCTCTTGCATTTGCACTGATACTTGTACCATCTCTTTCTTCTTCTAAACTACTTGTCCTCTTGTTCCTTCACAACTTTTGTTTTTTGTTTTTTCCTATTTAATGGTTAATAGTCCTGAAAATACTGAGTGCTTCATTACAAATACACTTTTATGGAACCCATTGGAGATTAGTGCAATTTCCTGTATATAAAAATTTACCAAAGATTACTTCAAATAGAACAAGTTTTCTATTAAGTTGACAACACCTTATACTAGTCATATTTTTATTATGAATTTAAAGACAGGAAAAGCTAGGAGAGAGCGAGGGAAGGGGTGACATTGTCCAAAAAGAAATGCACTCTTTACATGACTTATGTAACTGTAACCCCTCCGTACATCACCTTAAAAACAACAATTAAAATTTTTAAAGAAAAGAAAAAAGAATTTAAAGATATATCTTTCAAGATTAAACTGATCAATATTTCAAATCCAGTCATTGACTTCCTGATGGATTACAGAATTGTAATCCCAGCTCTTAAGTGTTTACTTCTGCAATTGTTAGTTGCATGTACAATAGTGTTTTTTTATAATTTGGGAGGTTGAAAGTATCAACATTATTAAAAGGATTATATTTGAAATGAAAGATGTTGAGAAAAGTCTATTATACCATATTAGTCATTACTACAGTGAATTGTTATCCAGGCTTTCTAAAGTGCTTTTAAGATTGACTAGATGAGTACTCTAATGAAAGTATAATGACTTAAAACAAGTCTTTTTAAGACTGAAAAAGAATCTAAAACAAATATATAATTCACAATTTTTTAACTTTCTGAATTTTCTTGGAAATTGTTTCATAAGTACAGTTTCATAGAATTCTATTACAAATAAATTTTCTACTTGGCTAATAGATACTAAAAGCTTTATTATGTTTCATTTTTCTCTGAGCACTAACAAAAGAAGACAATTTAAAAAGTATATAATATACAATTATGTTATAAACATACATAAAAATAAATAAATAAAAATTTATACTTCATTAATATCCTTATTGCCTAACATTAATATGGAAAAAGATTTTTCATGTCTGATGCTCACATGTGTGTGTGTGTGTGTGTGTGTGTGTGTGTGTGTGTGTGTATGTGTATGTGTATGTGTGTTTTGGTCCTGGGCTTTGAACTCAGGGCCTTAGTATTGTCCGTTTTGTTCAAGGATAGCACTCTACCACTTGAGCCACAGCTCCACTTTCTGATTTGTGTCAGTTAATTGCAGATAAGCGTTTCACAGACTTTCTTTCCTAGGTTGGGTTCAAACAATGGTCCTCATATCTCAGCCTCCGTAGTAGCTAGGATTACAGCTGTGAGCCACCAGTGCCTGGGCTGATGCTCACATTTTGATAAATTATGATGTTTGTTCTGCTCTCCTGTTCCACTTGCTGTCTTGTAAATCTGATTCAAGATGTAGATCAACATTCTCATCATGAAGAAAGACAAAGAGGCCCGAGGACATCTCTCCTTTAGGGATACTTTGCTTTGCTTGTAAATGAGCATAAGACCATTAAGTTATATGAACATATAATATAATTTTGTTACCCTCCTCAAATGAATTAATCATAATGAAATATTCTCTTGGAACAAAAAAGCTTGTTGAAGATACTGTATTTACTTCCCAAGAAAACATAAGTTATGAGAAATAACTTATGATTAATTTGAGCAATGTCACACTACCACCGCAAAGAGTTAGAAATAAATACCAACAAATATATAACTAGCTTATTTTCCAGATTTAACAAGTATCTAGTTAATGTATCTTCTTAGATGATAGTCAAGATGCATTATATCCACCACAAAATGTATATGTTGGCTCTGCCTGTCATTAATTCTTAATGGCCATTGTTTTAAATACAACCCAACTATTAGTTTATTGAACTTGATATATGTGAATATAAAAGGCATTGTGAGAGATATAACTATGTGATCGGGTGGAAAAGGCAAAAACTAAAATTCCTGGTTTTATCAAATAACATCTGAGTGACTTCCTTGGGGAGGTTAATACAAAAATAGAACTAAAATGGGCACAGAAATTTCCTTCAATTTCTGTGCAGCCTAAAGAGGAAATATTTCTACCAAGTCTGTTGCTCAATGTCTGACATCTAGAAAGGTCTCACATGTTTGTAGCCTTCTCTCTCTTCTCTCCTCAGCCTCCTCTTCCCCAGATGACAACCAGGAGGTAGTTAGGCCACTTAATAAGAGAAATTGGTTTGACTAAGGGTTTTGATGAATGCTGTGGTCTGCAAGAAACTTAAAGTTCTCACCAATGACATATTCAGAATAGCATTCCAAGAGTAATAAGGATCCTGTCTTTTGATATGGATTACATATTTCCATTTAACTCAAATAGGCCTCTTCTGGCATTCATCAAGAATGAAAAATCTTTATATCAGGAAGCTGATGACTTTAATTAGAGCAAGCATAAATATTATTTTTTTAATGTCAGCAAAATAACTAAGGATTCTTTGTCCCAAGCACCCAGGCTTATGTTCTTTGCCTTTGCAAACTACTATTGTTCTTGTATGAGGACACCTCCATATTCTTCTTTCAAATATTCCCTTTCTGTCTGATGAGAGAAAATCAGGAGATCACTGCATCACTGTCATGATTGTATCTCACTTTTTCCACTTGTAATGTTTGTACCACACTTCATTTCACGTGAAAAATTGTCACCAAGCTGGATTCTGATAGCTCACCCCTGTAATCCTAGCTACTCAAGAGGCTGAGATGTTAGGATCAAGGTTCAAAGCCAGCCTATGCAATAAAGTCTGTGAGACTCTATCCAATTAGCCACAGAAAACTAGAAGTGGTGCTATGGCTCAAGTGGTAGAGCATTTGCCTGGATCTAAAGAGCTCAGGGATAGTCCCCAGGCCCAAAGTTCAAGTCCCATGATGGAAAAAAAAACAACCTGTACAGACAAATCTGTGAAAGTCTTACTTCCAATTAACCAACAAAAAGCCAGAGGTGGAGGTGTGGCTCAAGTGGTAGAATGGCCAGTGTTGAGCAAAAAAGCTAAGGAACAGTACCTAGGCCCTTAGTTCAAGCCTCAATAAACACACACACACACACACACACACACACACACACGTCACCTATCTATCAAACCTACCTACTTGTCAAATAAATTCCATCCCCAGTAATTCCTCCGAATCACAAAGTAGAGGTTATAAAATTGCAGCATGTGACCCCCTATTTCAAGACCAGCTTGAAAAATGGTAGATTAGAACTTGGTCATGGTGAAGGTCAAAACTGCAGCCATACCAACCCCCATCTGGCAAGTTCCTCAAATGCCATTAAGTTTTTCTTATATTTGAGTAGAGAATAATTCCCAAGATTACAATTGAGCAGACTTTTATTGAATATCTATTTTTATGCCAAGGTTGATCTGTTTTGTGTCTTAACAATGATTTATTTATCCCTTCATCCGCACAAGATACATTTGGACTCTTCCAATGGACCAGGCATTGCTCTGGGCATGTATTTCTTAGTGATCAGGGAAGATGGCAATGAGAGGAAGAGCTCAAAAGTCAGTGGACTCCAGCTAGTTACAAAGGCACAAATTCCCCAAAGGTGCTGAGCACTTTTAGGGTTGCCTTATGCATACAGAGGATTTTAATAATGATAACCTACAAACAACCCTTTTCCTTTCTGCTTAGGGTTTGTCTCCCTAAATAAGAAGACATCAAGGAGTCTTTCCTCACACTCGATTTCCACATGAGTCAATATTTTCTGTTTTCTATTTTAGAACACTCCCTGAGACTCTTTGAGGGTGTTTGTTATGAGCCATGCTTGTGTGTAGTGGGTTTTGATCAAAATTCCCAGAGGTCTATATCTTTCAAATGATTACTAATCAACATAAAAACAACCCCCAAGCTGTTAAGTCTACCATTTGTGTGCATGAAAAGGTAGAATTTAGTTGTTTGAGAACATTTGTGAAACTTTGGTTTTCTAAGCATGCTTGAGAGAAAGTTCAGGATGTGTTTGCTCCAGGCCAACAATTTCTGTGTGCATGATAGTGTTTGAAGCAAAGCAGTTTAGCAGAAGAGGCAGTAAAGAGGTATGTCAGTCATGATACTATAATGTTTCAGTTGTGTATCCAAATACATAAATTGTATTCAATCAAGCAAGTAGAGAGGAAAAAAGGTAAATCTTAATTAAGATTGTCCTATTCTTTAGCACATCTTCCTTCACCTTCCTGTCCTTTATCTTCATTTCTTTTTATAACATGTTATGAGCAAAAAATCATAAAAATGACTACAGGACTGAAACAATGGTTCAGGAAGCTGAACCCAGCTTCAGGAACTTTCCCCAGTGGCTGTAAATGAAAGAAACATAGGTCCCATGGTTTCCCTTATTTGCAATAACTAAGTATATGTCTGAAACAAGCAGAAAAGGTCAGATAGGATGTTAGGCGAAATGAACCCCAAGATAAGGACACAAGTGTTTTTTTTCTTTCTTGCTATTGTTTCTGACGTATTAATAAGATGATTTTTTTGTCCTTCCCCCATGGTATAACCCCTATTTTCAGTGTATTTGATGCTGGTATAATTTGTGGAGGGGAAGGGAAAAAAACAAATTGTTTAAATAGGGATACAGGTGGACCCATTGCAAACAATGAGATATACAAGACGTTATGTCGCAAAATGAACTTTACAATTTAGGCGCAGGAGGCGGGATGTAGTTGTGGAGGTGGGAGGGCAGGGATGGTAGGGGAAAAACAAAGGAGGAGGCAACAATGCTTGATAAGAAATGTACTCATGACCTTGCTCATGTAATTGTAACCCCTCTGTACAGTATTTTCACAATGAAAAATGTATTTAAAAAAAAAAGAAAGCATATCGAGATTGTGCCATGAATTTCACCCAGCAGGGTACCAAGCTGTGCTTCTCTCTCTCCTACCGCAGGTGTCTCTGGTGCATCTGCTTAAGACAGTAAGGCTGCTGCGCCTTTTGCGTCTCCTGCAGAAGCTGGACCGTTACTCCCAGCACAGCACAATCGTCCTGACACTGCTCATGTCCATGTTCGCCCTCCTTGCCCACTGGATGGCGTGTATCTGGTATGTCATTGGAAAAATGGAGAGGGAAGACAACCGCCTTCTCAAGTGGGAAGTTGGTAAGGGCTTATGTTTGTCACAGTTTCCATTTTGACTATGAAAAAGAAGAGTTATCTAGGATTTTGGAGGAGGTGAAAAATGAGTCTGTAAATTTATTCTGTCTTACAGCCAATCTGTCTTTCAATTTTTTTTTCATGGATGAATATCCCTGATGTAAGTGATTTTATTTTGTTTGTATTTTTTAAGTTTCCTGAAAGAACTTTCTATTTTTTTTTTAATCAATGGGTTAAAACTTTAAGCTAGAATAACTTGAGAAAAAGACCTGATTTCTTCAGACTGGCCAGCAATGCAATAGAAGTGTTTCGATAAATAACGTGTGATTTTTATCTTGACGTGTTCCAGGACAGAGCTTATAATAATAACTCACTAGGAAACTGGTCTATGCCCTATCATTGTGAGATTTTTAAAATCCTAAGAAAATAATTGTTTACGTTTGAGGTGGTGTGTAAAAGGAAAAGTTTCCTTCCTTTCTTTTATTTTTTTTAAGTGAACTATCAAAATGACATACTTTTCACACTTAACCTTCCATGAGCACTAGGTATTTGCCAATAACATTTGTAAAGTGTCCCCATAATCCATAGAATTTTGTTTCTAAGTAATCCAGATTTATTTTTTAAAATTTTATTTTATTGTAAAGATGCTGTACAGAGGGGTTATAGTTACATAAGTAAGGTAATGAGTACATTTCTTAATGAGCATTAGTGCCCCTCCTTTGTTTTTCTCTTACTATCCCTTCCATCCCCTACCACCCCCACTCCCCCCCAAAGTTATAAAGTTCATTTCCAACATGATGTCTTGTGAGTATCATTGTTGCAATGGGTCAGCCTGTGTAATCCATAGAATTCCATAGAATTTTAAGAGATTTTCCAAGTGTTACATAATTCTGCATAGATGAATCTGAAATACTATGCACATTTTTAAACTTACGTTAACCACAGTAAATTTTTAGAAAATCGTAACCCTCTATCCAAAAATATTCCACCCCTTGTCACATTTATACACTTTAGAAAATCATCATTGTATCCTCTGTAGAATGGTTTTTTTTTTCTTCATGTGACATTTAAGCTAATGATTTTGTTTCTTAGTTGACTAGATTATCCTTCACTTAACTTTTCCAGCAAAAATCAATCCCAGGAAGTAGAGCTGTGGCCTAAGTGGAAGAGTGTTAGCCTTGAACATAAAAAGCTCCAAGGACAGAGCACTAGGCCCTGAGTTCAAGTCCCAGGATTGCACTAAAAAGAATTTCAAACTTTTGAATAAAACTCAGACCTTGCACAGGGATCAAACCACAGGAGAGTCTGCCTCAGAGCAGGAGAAAAAAAGCCCCAACTTTTCCAGTGAACACTTAGTGGGAGTATGCACTTAGATTATCAACATGTTAGCTTTCCTGAATGCTACTCTCGCATCAAATCCATATACAGAGCCTTCAAAAGGCATCACTGGATAACAAGCCAGAGATATCTGAAACCATTTAGAAGGAAGTGAATTCCTGGTTCAAGTTGTTTTTTTTTTAATCCCCTTCATATCAGCAACTGATGTGTTGTGAGAATTTTCTTCTCAGAGTGAATGATTTTCTTATTTTTATTACCAAAGTACTTCTTGTTTGCTTTGCTGTGGTTCTCAACTCTCAGAAACCAAGAAGGGGTAACTAAAACCTTGAATGAAGCAAAAGTTTCCCAGATAAAAATAAAGTTTGGAGGGGCCATAGTGAGGAAGAGAGTAGATCAAAGTCTGAACTGTTCTATGACAAACTCTAGCATGGGCTTAGTTGTCTTGAGTGAATTACAGCCTTAGACCTCTGCCTTTTGTTCTGAATCCATATTAAAATTGTGACGTGACCTCATTTCCTTCAAACCCCAGACCTATACATTTATATTAATTTGTTAGACATGTCTAGTCAGAAAGTCTCCAGACGGGGGAAATCCAACTGATTCACGCTCTCAAATTTAGTTATGTGAACGAAGTTTAATGTTTCATTTCCAGTCTGTCAGTCTTGCAGATGTACAGTCTGCTTGTTGTTTTTCTTCCCACAAACATCTCACAGTATTGATTGTCTCAGAAAATTGTCCACAAACAGCCAATAACCTGAATCTCCTCCATGCGACCCACTTCCTTGGTCCTGCCCTGTGGCTCCATGGAAGCTAGGGGAGAGTGCCAAGTGGAGCTGATCCTACCAAGATAGCGTTGGTCTGAGGCAGTGCTGGATGAGCACCGCACAGGGGACCTCTGCTGTCATCATGGTACCATCACTAATCAATCTACATTTCTGATCATTGCATCATCTGTCTTGGCCTTCCTTTCTTTAGTTTACAACATTCTTTTTTAAGTTCCTTGTGATACGCTTCTCATAGCAACACAAAGTTGGTGTTTTCTGTTTCATGTGAATATATACACATACAAATATTATTATAGCTCAGTCTCTAAAGAGGGGTGGGGAATGTCTGGCTCATGTAGTTAAAAAGACTTCAAAATCACTTTGTATAAAATAGAACTTATATGTTTTTGCTCAATGGCTACCTGTAGTATTTGACTGTATTGATAATTTTTATGGTCCATGAATGATATTATAAATACCTAAATGGCCTGTGGCAGAAAAACAAAACAAAACAAAACCAAATGTTCTCAAGACTCACACCATCAGTTGCAACCATCCAGCGGTAACTAGTTTGAGGGCTTGTCAGAAAGCACATCCGTGGCTGACGTGTCAAGGATTTGGTAGTTTTATACAATTATAAGAGGAATAACTGAACATTTGTCTTTAAAGAATTAGATTTCCTGACCAAGCACCTCTGAGGATATGATTAGGAAGACACTATCCTTATTATGTCTATAAATATTGTGTTTTTAAACATGGACAAAAACTTGCCTTTCCTGTACAATTACTTCTGTCATTTGTTCCCCAAAAAACATTCTCCAGGTGAGATTGGCATGCAAATTAGATAATTGCAACCTTTCCTAATCTTATAATAAATCAGATTAAAGGCTAGGTTAATTTAATTTTAACAGTGCAAATGTTTTCAATAGATATGTTTTACCTTCCCTGGTAAGATTAACATGAATCAAAAAATTCATCACACAAGATCCAATTACCATACATATTGTTCTTTTATGTTTGTGAGTTTAACATATAGAGCAAATCCATCTTACTGAAGGATAAATTCCTTGTTAAACACTGATAATTGCTCTGAAATGATTTTTGATCTTCTTTTGTTATGCCAGACCTAATACTTACAGATAAACAATATTTCAATATTTGTATGCGGATGAATCAGAGTGAGTGTTCTAAAGAGATTCAGTGTCACTATCACCTCTTTATAAGATACCTATTTCTTCAAAGGAAGAATTTATACCTATGGACTTGCTCTTATCAAGCGTTATGCAATGATTTTCCTGGCAGGATCCCTTACTTCATAATTTTATCTGTTTTGAATCTGTAGTTTAAGAAATTTTGAGATTTGGCTTTTAGTTTCATGGCATTTTAGACCTAAAAAGACCGTAGTCCAATTCTTCATCCATACGACTGATTTGATTTATCACACAAGTTCTGTGGTGGAAAGAGCTAATCTACTGTAACCACAGCTCTACTTCCACTGTGAGGTACAGCTCTCAGCCATGACAAATATACACGAAAAGTATAGAAGTTCAAAATCAATGTTGAAGGCCACTCCTTTACTGAGTAACAGTCAGGGAAGAAGAATCTAGCTTCCCAAAAATCCTTGTCTAGAAATCCTTCTTATAATTTTGAATACTGTGAAATTAATGAAGTAAGCCCATTCAGCAAATTATTTCTTACCAGGAAAAACAAATGATGAGAACACCAGGCTGATCACTTTGGGTTTTCCTGCCCATTATTTGAAAAAAAAAATCTTTAAGCAGTTGTGTTATGCCTGGTCCCATACTACCAATGAAAGTACTAAAGGAGGGAATACATTTACTATCATGGAGCTTAAAGGCTAGTGAGAAAAACACAGATAATTCAGTGGGTATATTACAACATGGCACACTCTATCAGAGGAATATGCACAGAGGGGTGACAACTAAATCTAATGGTGCTATTAGTGAAAACATCTCAGATTGACCTGAGGTTTATAGGATGGTTTGGTCTTGTCTGTCCAGGCATTGAGAATGGAGTGTCTGGGAAAGCAAGTTCACAGTAATATTACATAGTTCACCAGAACTATGGCACCAAGGGTGAATGGAGAATAATAGTAAAGTAAAACTCTTTAGAGTTAGATAGGCAGCAGAATGTGCCAAGCTTGGGAGCAATTGTACTTTATCCTAAGGCCAAAGTTCTTTCATAACAAATCCTTTGAATACAGAGCACCAGGAAATGGCAAGAAGGTTTTCTCTGCTTTGTATTCAATATTTGTAAAATAGCAATCATAGTACCTACCTCTGTGTTTGCCAGTATTCAATTACATAATCTGTGTGAATCATCTATCTGTCTCTAGTACTCACTATATATTATATTTTATAATTATTACTATAAGTTCATTATGACCAGTATTATCATGCAAGAAGCTAACGTGAGCTGTAACTAATGAATACTTAAACTTTGACATGGGAAAGTTACTTAGAAATTGCTCTAAAAGTATTGTTTGGGACCACCAAAGTAAGTGGGCTTAGAGCCATGGCTCAAGTGGTAGAGTACTAGCTTTGAGCGAAGAAGCTAAGGGACCGCACCAGGATTATAGGCATGAGTTGCAAGTACCTGGCTTGTAACTTTGTTTTTGTGAAGTAGTGCCTTGAACTTTTGAGTACAGGACTTTAACATACTGATTCAAATGTATTCCATTTGAGATTGAATCCAGTTCCTTTTGTTTTCTTACATTCCTAGGCGACACTGGTTTTTCTTTCACCAGACATTGAGTAGCATGAGGGTTTTTGTTTGTTGTTTGTTGTTGTTATTTAATTTTCTGACTGTCATGGCCAGTACTGGGTTTAAAAAATAGGCAGGTTCTATGCCACAAAAGTCACGCCACCAACCCATATTTGCTTA